AAGTCAAGCTAGACGTAGCTAAGCGCCAACTCCTTTGGCCAAAGGACTACACGCCTTCAGACGTACGATCTACTTTGCCCGACAAGCACGTGCCTCGCTACCATATGAGAAAGCTCCCGGTTGGACTTAGAAGCCAGGACTAGTTGGATACCGACCGTCGTGACTTAGTAATAGAGATCCAGGATCAACAACGAAGAAGTGGTGCTCAACATAGCTATGCCCAGCTAAATATCAACAGTTTAAGCCCACCTTCACCGTCCCCGCCGCCACAAGAGCCTAGTGCTACGCCACCAAAAGTGCCAAGCCTCCTACCTATACCAAAAGAGGAGCTTATGTCAAAAAAGCCACTACTAGCTCGTCCGCCCCCACCTATATCGGCAAAACCGCAAAGTTATGTGCCCCGACTACTTGGGAAGCGTACCCAGTCCCTAGATAACCGAGACAATATGCATAAGATGGATAATGCCTTGTCTAGAAAGCTGAGTCAAAAGCCAACTCCACCGCAGCCTCCTCCAAAGCTATCAGACTACATACCAATGCCAAAAGCTATGGACCTCTGTTTAATTACGCCAGAAGCGTTCCACCTCAACCTTCGCCAGCCAGATACTAAGCTCTTTACCACTAGCTTGTACGAGCTAGATCGGTTGATTGAGGATAAGCGTCATTAAGAAGCACGGCCAGGGCTAGAGATCATGGAATTGGAGCCGTCAGTGCCGGCCACGTACCAGCAATTCGCCCGAGCCTTCTCTAGAGAGGACTCCAACACACTGCCTCCGCCTCGGTCGTACGACCACAAGATCGCTCTTGAGAAGGATGAATCTGAGCTTCAGTTCACACCTCTGTACAAGATAGGTGCCGCAGAGCTAGCAGTCACCAAGCAATACTTAATAGACAACCTGTCTAAAGGCTTTATTGAACCTAGTCAAGCCCCTTTTGCTGCACCTGTCCTCTTTGTCAAGAAAGCCAATGGTGGTCTACGCTTTTGCATCGATTTTCGGAAGCTAAATGCTATAACTCGCAAAGACCGGTATCCATTGCCTTTAATCGACGAGACCCTGGCTCGAATCGCTTCTGCCAAGATCTACACGAAGCTAGATATACGCCAAGCTTTCCACCGGATCCGAATGCACCCTGATTCGGAGGAATTAACTACTTTTCGTACTCGCTATGGAGCCTATAAGTGCAAAGTCTTGCCTTTCGGACTTACTAATGGACCTGCCACGTAC